TAACCGGTGGCAGGATACTTCAGGGTCGATGCCTGGCATGTGTGATGGTTTCCATGCAAACATATCTCTGTTGTCTCGTAGCAGTTTGATCAATTTGTTTTTCATTTCTGGGTCAATGGTCGCCACGATGGTTGTTGTTTGATGATCCGCATCGCCCAAGACGACGTGCTCCAACGCTCCATCTGGAGTGGGTCTGGAATGTTCCACCCGTGGGTCGTCTCTTGCATCAAATTCTACTAGGAAGAATTGGTCGTGCTCCTTCCCATTCCTGTTAGGGCTTCCTTCAATTGAGTGGGCTGTTATTTGTTGGGGTGTTGGTTGATCTCTGAAGGTAACTTTGGTCACTGGTCTCAGGGATATATTGTAGCAGCTCCTGGCTACCGTTTGGTCTCCCTTCATCGTTGCGACTTTGTTATCCCTGGCTACAAACTTCATCGCCAGGTGCGGGTGTGATATGCTCGCCTCGAAGACGGCGAACATCTTTTGCCAAGAATTGTGTTGTATGCTGATGGGGTGTCAAGCACCAGGAATTGGATGTCAGCTGACCTTGAAGTGGGTGGCGTTTCCATGGATAAACGCAGGTTTATCATTCTGAGCGGCTTAGTGACTGTTGCGTTGAAACTTGAGAGTTCACCTGCAACTGGGGTTAAGTCATTGACTGTAAACCCTAACGACCTGAAACATGGTAAAAACAAAATGTCAGCAGAACTGCCATGATCAACAAACACGCGATTAACGCCAAAATTGGCTATTATTTCTTGAATGACAAGGGGGTCATCATGTCCGGGAAGGACGTCGCCCAAATCGTTGTAGTCCCACACGATTTTAGGCTTGGCTGGACCCAAATCAACTTTCACTTTGCTGATGACTTTGCCAGCTATCGCCAAACATTGTTTCAAATGTTTCTTCCTGGTGTTAGCTGTTTCACCGCCTCCGCTCAGTCCTCCTGAGATCATGTTTATCACTCTGTGCTTGATGACAGCGAAGTCTTCTTCATCTTCCTCTTGTCTTCCTCTATTGCTTGGGTTAGCTTGCACTCTACGGTCTCTTGGAGAGTCTTCTCTTCGGTCACGTTCATGGCGAGGTCGATAACCTGAATGGTTAGTTCTTCTTCTTTCCGGTGACTTGCTACGCTCGCGGTGTCGCCTGCCAGAACTGACAGTATGAGCCCCATCACTCGCCCGTCTTTGAGCCCCGCCTTTAATAAGCTCATCAATCTCATCTTTAAGGTGTCTTCATTCTTCAGTACTATGGTCGTTGCTGCGGTAAAATTTGCAGTATATGGTGCTTTCTCTGGTCGACTGTTGGTGCAGTGGGTTACTCTGGCGCTCTTCTTTGTATTCAGAGTTCAGGACGCTGTGTGATTGGCGTCCTGAGGTGTCACGCCCCAAAGGGCGACTGACATATTTGGAGGGTTTGTGACCCTTCCTACCTTCTTCCACGTGGTCCTTACTTTTACTGGCTCTTTTCTCTTGGTTGTGGGTGTCGTCAACTCAGCTTCCCTTGTACTCTTCGATCCGCATAAACTCTTGAGCTTTTTTCTTGACCTCTTCAAGGTCGGTAATTTCATGGGGAGAAAGCTCGTAGGCGAACGCTCCTTGTCGCAAGCCCGACAGGAGTATATGCACTTGCACCTTAGGGTCCAGACCTTGTACCTGCAGAGCCTCTTTATCAAAGCGGTCCAAAAAGGATCTAAGGGACTCCCCTGATTGTTGGCGAATCTTTTCAAGAGAGTGGACGGACTTAGGCACAGGGTGACTGGTTGCGAAATGGGTTTGAAACTTGCCTGCCAAATCATCCCAAGACGCAATACTACCAGTTGGCAAAGTGGTGTACCATGTCAACGTTGTCCCGCCCAGAAGCGTAGGGAAAGTCCTGCACATGAGGAGATCAGTCTCACCGTGAAGGGTCATCGCCGCTTCGAACTTTTGGATCCATTCAAAAAGATTAGTGTCACAAACATACGTAGCGATATTGGAAGGGCCTTTGAAACCAAGGGGTATGGGGGTTAGGCGTAGGCTATCGGTTAAGGGTTTGTTGCGTCCTGAAGTATTAGCAGGCGTTACCCGTAAGTTCGGGTTGTGCGCTTGCTGGTCTGGTGGTGGGCGAGGTACATGTAGGGCTTCAACAGAGTAAGAGAGGGCTGGGGCTTGATGGGCGACATGTTGTGGCAGGCCAGGATTCATACATGATCCTTGAGGTTGTGGAATGGCCGCATTATGAGGTGGTATTGCGTAACCGTGGAATGGAAAACCATTAGGGAAAGGTGGGGGGTAAGGGGCAGCCACGTTGTGTGTGTAAGGCCCGGGGGGATATGGGGCGACCACGGGGATTCGATGATCATTATACAAAGCCACTGGCTGACTTAGGGCCGGTTGTGGATGATAAGCTGGTGGAAAGTTTGTGGGTCAGCGGCGGGGAGTGGCATTCCGAAACGAACTCCAGGCGATGGGGGTTGTGTTGGGATTAAGTTCTCTCCTTGGACTTCGCGTATGGCTACGCGACGATTCAGCTGTGCTACTCTAGCATCATATGCTGGTACCTGAGGGTCAACAGATTGTAGCACCGGGGGGAGCGCCTCACCGACTACTTGTTCAGCAGGGGCTGAATGCATAGATGGTGGGAAGTTGGAATGAACCGTTTGCACATGACCTTCACGGGTAACGACTTTGGTCTGCTCTGCTCTTCTTGTCGTAACAGCCATGTTTAACTGCCAGAAAATGAAATGCCTCTCGTAGATCTTTGGTAGGAGAATGGGAATAGAAGTTTATAGTTTCCCACATACGGCGCCAATGTACCGTTGGGATCTATAAGCCCACTATGTTCCCTTTGGGGATGGAGTCACTATATGAATGATACCCTTAGCACAGGTAGAGACCAAGCTAAGAGGCACTGTTCCAAGTATGAAACAAGCAATCAACAATGGTGTTAGGTGTGTGTATATGTGACTCAATGTAAATGGGCAGAATAACGATACATAAGATACTTTCTTGGTGTGCCCAGGGAGCTTATTTATAGGGGAAGGTGATGTGAACCTTGTGTGGGTTGGTGAGGAATGGGTCAACCCTCCTTGGGATCTGCTAGGGTGGCAGACGCTGCTGGGCGTGGCAGGCGCTGCTATGATAGCAGCGATGTGCCTCCTGTGCCTGGCGATGTCAGCATACGACAAATGGCAGTTTCCTCTTATGGTATCTGGGGCAGTCACCTTTGGGGGTTAGGGTCCCAAGACAGGACATTTTAGTGTTTTCTCTAGGGAGTGTCGTTGCGTTGGGGGTTGGGGGGCTGATAGCCGGTAGGGATGACGTGAATAGGGGGTTGAGATTGAACTTGGACCTTTGGGCCACTGTATTGTTGGGTCATCTGGAACAGTAATGATTTAAATATCAAATTCATAAACTAATTATTTGAAACAAATTTCATACTCAAGTTTATTTCTAAAATAAAAAAATCATTTAAAAGATTTCAGAGAAAAAGTAATACGTTACATAATGCAAAAATCCTAAAAACGTGGGACTTTGACCGTATTGCCACCTTTTAGGCAAAAAATTACCGGATTGCCACGCCAGAAATTTTTTTTGCCAAAATGCCACGTCACAATCTCGCTGGTCTGACAAGCGGGAATGGTCTAGACACGTGTCAGCGTCTGAATGGTCAACCATTCTCGCTGGGCTGACCAGCTAGAATGACAGAATGCTGACACGTGGCAAAAGTACAAGCATTATCTGGATGTCTGTACTTTTGCCACGTGTCAGCATTCTGTCATTCTAGCTGGTCAGCCCAGCGAGAATGGTTGACCATTCAGACGCTGACACGTGTCCAGACCATTCCCGCTTGTCAGACTAGCGAGATTGTGACGTGGCATTTTGGCAAAAAAAATTTCTAGCGTGGCAATCCGGTAATTTTTTATTAAAAGGGTGGCAACTTGGTCAATGTCCCTATAAACTCTATAGCTTTAAAACGGTACGAACAACATACACGAGACAGATAGGTGCAAAAAATAACATCTTTTTTTTGTACACAAAAAAGATAACATCTTTGAACATGCCATTAGACCACAGTCCATAAAAAAGAAGAAAGATGATAATTTACGAGTCAAAGAAAATTAACCATACTAATTCATAGACCCTACGGTTGAAAGATAAGAGAGAAAACTGAAAGGAAAAAGAACAAAGTGATCAAATAGAGAAAAAGTGTAGCGCGTGACCCTGCAAAAGCATCACATCGAAAATGACCCGTAACAGCTATAAAGCTCAGACTGTGACCTTCTCTCATACTTTAAATTAAACATTAACGGCCGTTTACCGAAAAAAATATATATATTCAACGGCCAACAAGACACTGCAAATTTCAGTCAAAACCATAAAAATCATTCTGTGGAGTGGAACACTGCAAATTAACTCAGTCTCACGCTAGCGAAAAAGAATCTGATGATGTGATTCAAATGCTTATGTCAACCTAATAAATAAATGCAACGTGGACCAACATGTCACTGTTCATCAAGTTTTTTAACTAAATAAACAGTGTTATTTTTCAATCTACCACAGAAACAAGTTTGCTATCCTGTGTAGCAAACTCAGTTTGCTAATGTGTCACATTTCTAGAAGATAACAAGTACCAAGTTAAAAAAAAAAATATAAAGTTCGCTATCCCGTGTAGCGAACTTAGTGCCGACTAAAAACGTGACACATTAGCAAACCGAGTTCGCTGCACCGGGTAACGAACTTGCCTCCGTGACAGATTGGAAAATAACGTTGTTCACGTGATATTTAGATAAAAAACTTGATGAAGAATGAAATTTTAATCAATGTTCCTGAATAAATAGTCTATTTGTATCCCAATTCCCAAATGTAACAAGCCGAAAACGATAAAATTTTATATATAGAGTATATACATTATTTATATTTAGAAAAACCAAAGTTAATAAAACCCCTTTTAAAGAATTATGACAAGGACCAAAAGAATTCATTCTCCTTTTATATCTTATGTTTTTATTATTATCATCATCTGGGACCAGAGAGTTCCATGGCATAGGAATCCAAAGAATGTTCATCACCATCTTCATCATCCATTGTCATGCCAAACATGCTGGAACGATCATGAACATTATTATCATCATGCTTTGAAGCAGTGGTAGGGTGGGATAAACTTTTGCTACAGTTGCAGTGAAGGGTGTTCAGACTGAGACTAGCATGATTATGTGATGCTGCCCATTTCTCAGCAAGGCCATCACCTTCAAGCATTCGAACGACTTCAGACATTTTGGGGCGGTGTGCTGGCAAATTTTGAGTACAAAGTAAAGCTACTTGCAGCATCTCCCCCACTTCTATCCTGTCATAGTTGCTTCCAAGTTCCTTGTCCACCAACACTTCAACTTTCTTTTCATGCTGTATTTTCCTAACCTGACACAACGTATGGACAATATTTGATCTTTAATTACCACCATTCCTTTCAGCAAACCTTCAAATACACAAACTAATGACCTATTTATATCTTACCTACTTCAGGACTGGATGGAAGAGTTCAAGTTTTTCATAATTCTTACGTACATAGTTATAAAAATGATACTCGGTAACTTGAACATGAACTGTGGCATATACAAAAAAGAAACCATAGGTGGCATTCCCTAGACACGTGTCCTTAGGACATACTACACAGCAATTACTAATATCTAGGGACCAAACGCAAACTATATCAACATATTTTTGGGTCCAAAATTGAGGTAAAAGTTAAAATAGCTTAGTTAAATCTAAGGCATATCAGTAATGTAGACAATCGTTAGTAACACCACAAAGTCTGTCAAGTTAATGACATACTAGAAAACAAATGTTCAACAATTAGCTTCTTCTTCTTCTTCTTCTTTTTTTCTTTTTATCCCATTTAACAGAAGTTTTCAATACATGAGAACTGGAAAATGTCAGATGTTAGAGATGAAATTGTTTTGCAACAGATGATTGCAGAAGAAAACATGTCAAATGTACCGCGTTATCATGTCAAATGCTAAATAATGGAATGCATTTAATGGTTTGTTTGGGTTTAGGTTGCCGAGAATAAACTTACCCATTCTAGCATTGCTCCTTTTTGATTCAGCGTTTTTCCAAACTCAAGAGCTGTCATTCCAGTTATGAGCTCCAACAAGAGAATGCCAAATCCAAATACATCAGTTTTATCAGAAGATTGGCCAGTGGAGAGGTACTCTGGTGCAATGTGCCCTACAGTGCCGCGGACAGCAGTGGTGACATGGGAGTCAGCATGGTCAAGGAGCTTTGCAAGGCCAAAATCACCAACAACAGCTTCACAATAGTCATCCAGAAGCACATTAGCAGCCTTAACATCTCTGTGTATTATCTTAGGATCACATTGCTCATGTAGATAGAGAAGACCTCTGGCAGCTCCAATCGCTATTCTCTTTCTTGTGTTCCAATCTAAAGCAGGTTTGCCTGTCCTTTCAAAAGGTAAGTTATTCAAAAGACAAAGTATGCCTACTAATAAACAGAATATTAGCGGTAAGCAAAATGTGGTTGATAGAGCTGATGAAGAAATAACTACCAATACCTGTGATTTTGTAGATATTAAATGATACAATGAATTTGCTATTTTAACTGCTGTTGCCAGTAGCCACAAAAAGGAACAAATAATATCAAATCTATCACACTTAAATTAAGTGTTCAATGCCTTATATGAGCATCTTAGAAACTTGATAAGAAGTTATCTTGTCGGAGTTGAAATCCACCAAAATGTTGAGGAAGCTTGGATATAACTTATTTATACTTGGTGTACCCCCAAATTATGAGACCGTTTCATGGTCGTAATTTAATTTTATTAAAATTATAGATATATGAAGATTAAGGTTGCTGACGACAAATAGCAGTTTTAGATTATGCCACCAGTTTCTGACCCTTTAAGAGAATTTATTAAACAATAACTACGATAATAATGATTCTACTAGTTATGCTATCAATTGCTCCAGATAAACAGCATACCCAGTTGGAATCAAGTATCATTTCACGTTTAACATTAAAAGTATGCCTGAAAAATTTATGGGGAGCCTATCCAAGACTAATTTTCTTGGGTACAAGGAAAGAAATAGACTACTGTAACCAACCAAATTATATTGGAAATGCAACAAACACCAACGTCCGTTAACAATGAAACAGAGCAAGACCAAACCAGGACAATTGTACATCACATGTTCAAAACAGGCTATATGACAAGGAAAATAACACTGCATTTTACTAAGATATATCATATGATCACATGCTTGGTGATAAAGATCATTAGCATAAACGGAACTGCATACCTCTAAGCTTGGAGGCCACACTGCCATTAGACATAAAAGGATAAATCAGAAGCTTTTCATTAGGAGTGGCACAATATCCAATTAAGCGAAGTAAATTGCGGTGAACTGCCAAGCTTATCATCTCCACTTCTGTTCGGAACTGTGATTCACCAGCACTCCCAGTCACATCCTTCAGCCTTTTCACTGCCACCATTGTTCCGTCTCCAAGTTTCCCCCTATAAACATTGCCAAAGCCTCCAGCACCAAGTAAGTTCCTGTGGCTGAAATTATCTGTTGCACTTTGGAGCTCTCTGAAAGTGAATTTTTTCAGATTTCCCAAGCTAACAATTCCTTCTTCTTGATGATATTCTGCCAGAATGCAAAAGTTATAAATACTAACGCCAACCCTTAATATACACTTTAAACTGTTGTTCAAGTGCTACCTACCACCGATGTACAGTATTGGTCGGTGCTGCCTTTTCTTATGATACCAAAAGAGCCATAAAAACAGGAATACGAAACAAACACAACTAAGGCTGATCCCAAGTGCAAGTGCTAGTTTCTTGGACTTGTTTTTCCCTACAAATATATGTAATAGAGGTTATAAACAAGTAGTATAAAGTGAAAACCAACCAGGGTGGAGTATCAATAAGGAAGCACCTTGTGATGATGCTAGAGAGAAGGAAACAGGCATGAGGGTTGCTGAACCGGAGCATCCTTCAGTAGAGCTGCTTCCACAAATCAATGGATTTCCGACAACACTACAGAAATGAAAGTTAATCAAGACAAAAGCAGAGTATAAACAAAAAACAATAGTTTAAAAATAATGGGAAACTAATCCTTTCCACAAAATAAACTGAGAGAAATAGAAAGAGACAAAATCAAAAAGTCACCATACTTGAATGATCTAGCTGGAAACTTGGGCAATGGTCCACTGAGATTGTTATAAGACAAGTCCCTGGATGCATAGTTATCAAAACAGTGTTTCAGCCAAAAATGTTGACAAAAATAGGAAGAATTCAACATGAGTCAGGTTATTTCAATTTTTAAGAAGTGAGAAAGCGGACAAACAAACTGAGAGAGGGGGGGAAACTGAGATAACCATACTCACAAGAAAGCAAGTTGTGGGATTTTCGCTAGTGACACAGGAAAAGGCCCAGACAAGCTATTGTTGTTCAGCCTCCTGCTCTCGTTTAGGACAACGAAACAGTATATCACATATTTACGTTAGAAGACGAAAGCAAAGGTAAAGTAGAATCTGAAAAATCAGTTCACAAGTGAAACATAATCTCAGAATAATTAATTATTCCTACTAAAAACTGTTATACACAAAAGAAAAAGAGTATTATTTAGATATTTCACAGAATAACAATAGTATGATCTCCTTTTTAAAGTCAATAACTAAACCGAAGATAGCGGCCAATTGTTGCTTATGTAATTCCCTTCTAAATTTTACTAACGCCAAAAACACCTATTTCAAAGTCATTTTTCCCGCACTTTCTCAGCAAAAGATGAAAGGAAAAGAAATATGTAGGGGAAAAAAAAAATACTCACAGGTACTGAAGACTATTTAACTGACTGAGAGACCCTGGTATCACCCCACAGAATCTATTATTGGAAAGATCTAAAGTCTGAAGTTTGGGAAGTTCACCAAGCTCCGTTGGCATTTTGCCAGAGATGTTGTTGTTCTGTAGTAACCTGCACTCAACCAAGGAGCAGATATTTGAAAAATCCCATTACAGATAAAAAAAAACAGAATAAACAAATAAATGGGTTCCAAACTTTCTTCGAGCCGATAGAAACTCAAAGAGAAAAAGAAACAAAAAGCACAAATAACCAAAAGCAATCGAGACCAAGTAAGTTTCAAAATGAACTTAAAACTTTGAAACCCACAATACCGAAAAAGCTAGAACGAGAAATAAAAACAACAGAAATAGCTGGCTGAAATAGTGAAATGAACACTAAATAAAAGGATAAATGAGATTTATGGGATGGTAAAGAGTCTCACACTTGTCGAAGATTTTTGAGATTCCCAATTGCTGGAGACAGAGTTCCAGAAAGAGATTGACTGGGTGCTCCCCTGCAACAAAAAAATAAAAAATAAAACATGGAATATGAAAAGTGTGCAATGTGAAGAGAAAGAAAGTGCAACAAAGACTAAAACGAATAAGAAGAAGAAGAAGAACTAACTCACAGTCCAATAACAAGGTAATCAGAGGAGCAAGTAATCATTGTCCAGCTGCAAGGGTCCACAGAGAATTCATCCCAGTTGCTCAGCACGCCATGTGGATCATTCAGTGTTGCCCTTATACTCATCAAAGCCTCCACTGCAACGTAACCAACGTTGTAATAATAAATAAATAAATAAACAACCTTTTTTCCAAGACAATAATAACAAATGGAACATAGACAAGAAGCTAGTCATGGGCTTGTTTGTACCTTCGTGGTTGCGAGGCTCGGAAGAGGAACAAAGAGCAGCACGTGAAAGAAAGAAAAGAAGAACAAACCAATTGGGAGCCATAATTATGGAACTACGGTAGTGAACATGTTTCACAAATAGAACCACTTCAAAGAAGAAGCTAAAAGCTATTCTCATATACAAAGTTACATACCCCAGTTTTTCCCTTCCTTTTTTTTTTCTCCCTCTCTCTGTCTTTTACAATCTTTTTCAGTCACCAAGCTTTTGCTTTACAACAAATATATATATTTTAGGACAAAGAAATGGATATGAAAACTAGAGAGAGAAAAGTGAGGGAAAGTAAGAAGGCGAATCAGGTGGGTGATACGAGTTGTCAGGGTGGTTCGTGTATGTGTGTGTTGTGTTTGTGCGCAGAATTTGAGAGAGACGCGAGTGGGAGGTAGTGGTACTGTGACTTTACACTGCTACTACACTAGTGTTAATGTAACGTGACATTACAATTACATGACCCCTTTTACTCTCCTCCGCTCTTCATTTTCCTTGGAACTAGAACATGGATCATGTGAACTAAAATAACTCACGAGAATCAAAATGTCCATCGCTTCATAACCATGGATTTGGATTTAAAGCGTACGTTACATCGTATTTTCTGGCAAAAAAAATTAAAATAATGTAATTAATTAAAATAATTACGCATTTAATGCTGTTTTGTAAAAAACTACACATCTGTTGCACAATGAGACGCCCATATGACGCCCAAAGAGGGCGTCTCATGTGCAACCTATATATACCCCACTTTTCTTTTTTCACTCCTTACTCATTTACCTCTCTAACCTCTCTCTCCAACCTCTATCTAACCTCTCTCCAACCGCGGTTCGTAGCGAAGCTCTGTCAACGTAGGTAAGGTCATAATACCTCATATGTATACATTTAAATTACAGTGCTAGTTAGTAATACATGTTAGGATTGATTGTATATTAGAGACTTGTAACATTAGGATATTCACTTAGAAATTTTGTGTCATGCTATGAATGTTGTAATGATATAGTAATATTATTATTACGTAGTTATTATTATTACTGATTTTTAATTATGTATTAGGGTTTAGCATATTAATTAGTGATTTATAAATAGTGTTAGAGACTTTGTAAATTTCGTATGTATGATGTTATTAATGCGGGAGTGCATAACTTTGTAGTTAGTTAAGGATAATGGCTGAGTCATCATCTTCTTCGGGATCTGATTCGGATGTAAAGCCCACCGATCCCAGCATGTGGATCATACCTGGACCCTACAGGTGGGAGGTCCTTCGTCAGAGGACGCAGAAAGGTCATATTTCACAGCGAGTGTGGAATACTGAGCATGTAAGAAAGATTAAGACGAGGCGTGGGAAGCCACAAGGGGGCCCACCTACCGGTGCTATTCCACAGGTTGTGGAAGAGTACCTCAGACAGGCGGGTTTCATACATGTTGCCAGGATGCAACATATCCAGGTATGTTATTTATGTCGTTTTGTATTTATGTAATTAAATAATGTAATTCGTTAACACGTGATAACTGCATAATTTATCACAGATAGATACATTTTTAATTAGTGCTCTGGTCGAGAGGTGGAGACCAGAGACACATACCTTTCACATGACCCAAGGTGAGATGACGATCACCTTACAAGATGTGGCAGACATCTTGGGCTTGCCGACCGACGGTACTGTCGTCATCGGATCGACCTCTGAGGATTGGCACGCTGCTTGTGCTGGTGTTTTTGGACATGTTCCAGAGGCCGGTGAGTTCCATCATTCTGGCGACCTCTGCATCTCATTCTTGGATCGACATTATATGCGATGGACTGATCATGAAGGGAATCAAGCTGCCGAGATCTACTTCACAAAAGCTCACATTGCGCGGATGTTGGGGACTTGGTTGCTGGCGGACAAGTCTGGAGGTAGCAATTTTGGTTGCCGGCTTGTCCCGTTGCTAGGTGGAGGATTTGAGGACATTGGCCGATTCAGCTGGGGATCTGCAGTTTTGACACACTTGTTCAGGAATTTGTGTGAAGTGACAGATGCCCGTCGAAGCGACATGGGTGGTTGCCATATTCTCCTTCAAATTTGGGCATGGATACGATTCCCACCCATTGCTCCACCCCTTCCTCCTCATCCAGAGCCGGGCACACATTATGGATGCCGGTATGATTTATTTACTTCATTTGATTTCGATAATGTATGTGCTTAATACTGTATGTACTAACTGTATACTTCTTGACTTTGGACGATTATGTATGGTTGATAATGTTTTTGATTGACAGGTTTAATGTTGTACAAAAGTTTAAACCTCATGAGGTCACCCATTATCGGGCAACATTGGACACACTCTGTAGAGATGAGGTTTGGTGTTAGATACTTACGGTGTTGTTATTTGTCTATGGGTTTATTTTTATTTTTGTAACTCTATATATTGTTTCACATTTTGTTTGTAGGTGGTGTGGCAGCCGTATATAGAATATGAGTGGCTTGACGTGACTCTAGAGCAGAAGTATCTGTGGCTAGCTCCCACACCTATTATCTACTTCCACACAGTTGAGGCATGTCAACCGGATAGGTGCATGCGACAGTTTGGTCTTAATCAACCCATCCCGGAAAAATCTAGAAAATTGAGAGGAATACATGATCATACTCTACGGGGGAAGGTTGAAGAGAACTGGAGACGTAAGCTCAGGGCTCACATTGATCGATGGAATACTAGGATTCAGCATATTGTACTGCCACCTCCATTATAAGGTTTGATGTCACCTAATCATGCGTACATGGAGTGGTACAGAGAGAGGGGAAAGCGCTACATATCTCGGAGGGCAGCAAAGATAGGGCGCATGGTGAGTTTTGTACTTATTTTACATTTGTTTCACATTTCTAACATTTTTTCGTAATATGCAGATTGACGGTCTTGAAATGCTGTATCATGCAACAACGGCGGAGGAGTTTCCTCGATTTGGACTACAGTATATTCACGAGGAGATAGGCCGGATTATTGGGATGTTTCGTGAGAGTTCACGAGTTGATGAGCCTGGACCTGAGGCACCCCCCGTGCAGACTCAGCCTGATCCTCAGTTGATCGTGGATGTTCCTCGTAATAGACGGGAGGGACGGGGATTAGGACGTACACGTGAGAGAGTTGCTGCTGAGCCTGTCCCGATTATGGCACCTAGACCAGTGGTCGAGACTCAGGGATGGTTTATACCTCCAGCATTTGGTCCTACTTACGGGTCACAACCGATTTATCATCACGGATCGCAGTATGCGGCAGGTCCTAGTCAGGCGGCGTCTGAGCACCCTTACATGAGCGGGCAGGAGCCAGTTTTCCAGGCTAGTCCGATGGCTATGGCAGGAGCGGATCCGGCATCCTCACAGCCTGATTTCCAGCCCTATTCACAGGGACTTGATGCCGATTACCCCTTTTGGTCTGCAGAGGACACGATGGAGTTGTATCGCTCTGTAGGCCTTGTTGCAGAGAGCCATGACAGTGGGGAGACTCTAGCCACAGATTCTCACAGTCAGGACACACCCCTTTTGATGTGCCGGGCAGCAGTGCAGGACCATCAGATGATTTCATCCGTGGGGCGATGGATGACTTCCACACTCCACCTCCACAGGAGCATCAGGGTGACCCAGTCTGGGACAGACGTATACTGCCAGATAGGGATGCACGACATAGGCCATGGCCACCGTGGTCCTAGTTTCATTGACATTTTGTTTATTCACTATGTTGTGGACTGTTTCATATTGTTATTATTTTGTTCTTTTGTATATATCATATGAGTGTAGCATGTTGTTATATTGTGGACACTACATTATTATATTATTTGGACTATTCACTATGTTTTGGTTATCGTTCTTTGCACATTTATATTACGGTAACTAACAGCATCAACTAATTAATAATTCAAGATTAAAAACATACATAAACGGAAAGTAAAAAGCCCAACATAACGGACATTACAATTCATGCAATAACATAACCAACAGCAAAATATGAACATAATATGCAAATCATTCGTTTCTCCCACGACTTGGACATCGCCGACGATTATGGCCGCGTTCCTTGCAAAGTCCACACCTGATACGGCTCTGGCTTGTTTCAACTTCATCCATCTCGTTGCGGATGCGAGTTGACTTTGGACGACCTTTTGCACGCAACATAGTACAATCAGGAATAATCTTTGCACCACTAATTTCAGGTATTGCTTCCTCGTTTCCGATTGGCTCCCACGGAAAAGAATAAGCCTCGACCAAGTTATTTATCAAGAAGACGTCGTCAACGTAAGTGAACGCACTCTGCCTAACACTTAACGCAGCAGCAACGGCGTGACTACATGGATACTTAAAGGCCTTAAACTTTCCACACTGACAGTATCTCTGTGGGAGGTTGACAGAATATGAACGTTCCCAACCTGCGTCAACCTCGAATACAGTATGTTCAACATTGTATGCACGAACGTGGAGGCCTGTTGCATCTACCTGGTTCTTCTTGACCAATTCAACAACATGTTTGGAGTGACGATGAGCTGATTGAAGTTGTGCAAGAGCATTTGTTCCTCTCTCAACAAAATATGCAACCAATCTGCTATATGTATGCTTAACCAATGCTGTTATAGGCATATTTCTGGCCCCCTTCAAAACCCTATTGACAGATTCAGCCAAATTTGTTGTCATATGACCGTACCTCCGACCTTCAATATCGTAGGCACGCGACCACTTTTCCTTAGGAATCGCATCTATCCACTCAGCAATTTGAGGACTACTTTCACGGAAACTCGCAAGATTCCTTTCAAAATCAACCATTGCTGGAGTATAACCTGCACAAATTGGACATAAACGAATTAAACATAAATTGACAGTCATAATGGAAAGAAATAATTAAGCATTCAGTCAATGAGTATACCTAAATTCTTTAACATCCGCTTCAAATCTTCATTTCAAAACTTTTGATTGAAGTTGCTTGCAATATGACGAATACAGAATACGTGATACGCATTTGGTGGCTGCCAAGTAGGGTTATTTTCCACAGCAGATATTATGCTTCGATGCCGATCGGATATCAAACATATGTTTG